AAAACATGTTATCAACGATCAAAGAAATTGTAATTACATAGATAAAAAAAAATTATAAATTCTGAAGTACTATATATAATAAAATGAGTGTTTTTATTAAAAATTTAAGTTATCTTTGACTTCATTTTTTTTTTAAATAAAAACTAGTTTCAACTTTAAAAAAGCTAAGCTACCTTTTGGCTTTACTTTTTTTTTTTTTTTTAAAAAAAAAAAAAAAAAAAAAAAAAAAAAAAAAAAAAAAAAATTTTTTTTAATTTGTTTTTTTTTTTTTTTTTTTTAAAAAAAAAAAAAAAAATACTCTAGAGGTAAAGACTCTGTGTTAAACCTTCTTTTAGTAGGCTTTTACCTACAAAATAAAACCTAAGAATCCATTTTGGCATCATTCGCAACTGAAGATGTACTTCTGGTAACCAGTAAATTTTGAATTATTGAAAATGTAGATGAAGATAGAAAAAAATATCCTGTGTTAAAGGTAAATCTTAAGATACAACTTTATCATCACAATATATCATAAAGCTTCCTTATATTATATTTTAGATTATATTGTCTGAAGTTGTTCATCTCACTATCGATCCAAGCAATTTACTGATATTTCCTATTCTGATAAATATGACAGCTGTCGCAATTGAAATTTCTCAAATTGAATCTGATAACATCATTTTAACTGTAGAAACAAAAGATTATGTAGATCAAGATTATATAACTCAAAAATTAGAATATTACCACTTGAAGTCTGCTCAACACCTTGCTCCAACTACCTCTTCTGTTAAAGCAGGATCTGTTCTCTTCATCAGTAGAGAATTAACATTGATGTTAATTTGTGATAATTATATCGTTCATCTCCATACTATAAATTTTGTCGAATCTCAAAAATCTGATATTAATTTTTTTTCCTTTTTTTTTTTTTTTTTTTTTTTTTTTTTTTTTTTTTTTTATTACACATTGATTCTGAGAATATATGTAACTAATATATTAATACAAATGTTAATTCAATTTACTTTTAAAATATTTGTGCATAATTTCTTTCATTTAATTGCTATTCTATTTTATACCTTAACATTTTAATATTTTTGTTAATATGATACTTTTTTTGCCTAATCAGGTATCAATTTGAAAACACTAGCTAATCTTTCTTGGCTAAATGAAACTCCAATTAATAAATCAAACAATAAACCTACATTTCTGAATCAAGTTTCAACTAATAAACTGAACACTATAACTATGCTCCTTAATGAAATTTCAACTGATAAATTAGGTACTGAAGTCATAATTCAAAATGAATCTCTAACTAATGAATCAAGTGCTGAAACTGCAACCCAAAATGAACCTCTAAATGAAGAATCATGTACTGAAACTACAACCTGAACAATTGCTACAAGAGTAAAAGGAGGTAGAAGAAAGAAGACAACTACTACAAAACTATATTTTAGATCGAAAGAATGTCCAAAAGTTACTGATCTTGTGAAAACTGCATTAAACAATCAAAATAATAGCACCATTAATTAATCTATATCTTAACGTGTTGTTAGTTTAAGATTATATATATATATATTTTTTTAACAAATTATTTTTTCTTTATCTTTATTTTTTAAATTGTTAACAAATTATTTTTTATTTTTTAACTTATTTAATAAAAATTTGATCTTTTTTATTGTTCTATATATGAATAAGTACTAAAAATACGTAAAACTCTTTATTCTATCAAATTCTACCTTACCATTAAATTTTAGTTACTGTTATCTTTTTAATTGTTTTTATAATAATATATTGATTTAGCATAATATCATTCTATCATTATGTATACATTATAAACCCAAACTATTAATAATAAAGCAAGAAAAACTGATATATGATTCAAAAAATAACTTAACTCAATATGACTATAAGACCCATTAACTCTAATTACTTAGACCAAATCACTTCATACCTCATATTATTAGTATTTGGTATTATAACCTTAGTATATTAGTATTACTAGCATTTATTTTAACAGCTTGCATGTTTTTAATGTCGCCTATTTCACATTACTACCTTAAATATGCATATACCTAATTTAGTTACTATCTTGCTGTGTACCTTCTTATTACTCAATTTATCATGTTAGTATTACTAGCACTTATTTTGACAACTTGTATGTTTTTAATGTCACCTATTTCGCATTACTGTATTATTACCTTAAATATGCATATACCCAATTTAGTTACCATCTTGCTGTGTTCCTTCTTATTACTCAATTATCTCGTATACACTATCACTTTATATACATGCATTCCCATTTTAGATATTGTTAATTACTTAGCCTATCTACTTAGCCTATATACTTAACAAATTTACTACACATACACTTTTATTGATAAGCTATTATTAATATCCTAGAACACGTATATTCTTAAAATAGAAATTATTTATTACTTAGCCTTAATAGTATTATATATCTTTTTATACATGCATATTCCTACTTTAGAAATTAATTATTACTTAGCTATATACTTACTAAAGATGCTATATCACATACAATATGATATGTATATCATAACACGTAAACTATAATTGATAAACATTATAATAATCAACCTCAATAAATTAAAAAAAAAAACAACAAAAATTAAAAAATATTTTATATCATCAGTAACAAAAAATACATATTCGATATAACGCTTATATTATATTTAAATATATAAAAGACTTCTATCTCGCTTTTAAAAAAGCTATTCATAAATCATCACTAATTCTCTTCGTTCCTAAAAAAATAATTAAAATTATTTCAAAACTAAAAAATAAAACTCAAGTAAACATAACTACTCTTATATGCTTAATCTTTTAAAATTTGTATATATTTTACTATTACTCATGTATCATGCCATTTTACATACATTAAATTTTTCAAATCCATTCTTTGGAGTATGGTGAACAAGTGATTAATTTAACTGAAACTGATACTACATCACAATTTATAGTGGAGGAAGTAAATCCTAAATACAATACTATTTTGTCTATAACATCCTCAACTTATTCACTATAGACTATATCATCAAAAATGCATCAAATAATTTACAAATTTGAAAATAAAATCTTATATCAATTTCCATGTGTCCCCTGCTCTATCTGCTCTAAACTTATGTACTCTGAAAAGTCGCTATGGATTCTCAAAGAACCTAACACTACTTATCCGCTTACTACCATATATCCAGATGTTGCATTAGTTACTAATCCAAATCCACTACCAAACAGAATTGCAATATGTCCATCATATAAATCAAACTCCAACAGAAATTATCCTCCATACCTTTTTCGAATTCTATCAGAAATAGAACTTGTACTATTAGAAAACGCAGATATTTGTCACCTATTTTTCTACATTGTTCATTAGGTCATACTTCTAGAGCAAATCCCTTTACTAAATATAGAACATTAGGCAGTACAATAAACTATTCTCAAAACTTTCACTCTCTGAGTCTATATTCTAGTATATTAGGTACTTTTCTAGAACCTTCTAACTCTACTTCAAATCTGCCTTGGCTTGATAACTCTTTAATAAATACAGCCAACTGGCTCAAGGAAAACAATTACTATTTATATGAATACTGAAATTCATCTTCAACTACTTCATATAATCACCTTCCTTTTCCAATAGCAACTCATTTACCTGATAATTATAATACACCTCCTATACAACCAGGTGATATTGTAGTTCTGAATCAAAACTTTTCTGCTGAAATTCACAATAAAGATACCCATTATAGTTACCTAATAGCTGAATTTCTAACAAATAACAGATCTAACAGAATTCCAATTTCTTTAAATAACCCTAATTTTGAACCATTACTTTTTCCTAATTTATATCCTGATGGCTATAGTTACTATCGTAAAATACAAAATCAGCTAGAATTCACACAACATCGTCATGAAACCTTTGGCAAATATATTAAATATCATTTACTTTTATTAGATCCTTGATTCTGTTTATATCATTATTAGCCAGCCTGGGCATACCTTCAGTTAGAAAAACTTAGAAATTTCCAAAATACGTAACGATTAGCTCATCAATCTAATACTGACTTAACATATCATTTACTCACTACAATTAAAATTATTGAATGAAGTATCTACTCTGATAGCTAGCACTATAATGAAACTAACACTACACCTATTCCCACATTTATCTGTATGGGAAACATCTATTTTCAACAAAAAACCCTACACTTAAATACAATGATACATGAATTAGGACTTCCAACAGTATTTATTACTCTGTTAATAGCAGAAGGTTCATGGCATCATCTTCATAATATTCTTATTAACACAGATAATATCCTTTTGTTATAATCCATCCTTACCAGTAACATAGTTGATATTATTAAAACACAATTAAACTCCCTTAAAATATTACCCCGTATAATACTTGCAAATATAATAGTTAACCTAAATCTGAGTTAATATCACTGTTACCAAACAATAACAAATTACTTAGACAAATGAGATATCTCACATTACTCATACTTTTTCATTACCAGCTAAGCTGGCAATAGCAAATCATTTATAATCCGTATATTTTTAGAATACTTTCAAAGAATTCATAAAAATTACTTATTAATGGCTCCAACAGAAATTGCTGCTTTAAATGTAGGCGAAACTACTATTCACTCTGCCTTATGGATAATGTCAGATAAGAGAGGTTTTTACTCTCTTATATTTTGTGACACAAATTTCTGTAATTTTCTTCTTCAACTTGATATTCTCATAATAGAAGAAATTTCAATAGTATCAGATCTATTATTAACATATATCTCTGAACTCTTTGAACGATTGCACAAAAACAACTACCCATTTGGAGGAATCAGCATTATTTTAGTTGGTGACTTAGCCCAATTACCTCCTGTCAATGCACCTCCTGTATATTAATCATTCATTTGAAAGATTTTCTACCCTTTATTTCTTTGTGATTCCTAAAGACAAAATGATGATACTTACTTTTACACTTTTCTACAAAAAATTAGATATGGTATTATAGATGAACAAGTTTGGAATATATTATCGCAAAAATTATCTGAAACTATTCAATTACCTCAACCAAATACAACTCTTAATACTACTCACATAGTAGGCTATCGTGAAACTGCTGAGTTAATCAATAGGATAATCTGTACCTCAATTCCTACTTATGAAGATAAAATTCTAATTTCCAACAGTATTGATATTGTAGACAGCCAAATATACTCAAGAAACCATAAATTTACAAGCAAAACAAACCTTCCTAATACTATCAGAATCCAACCTGGAGCAAGAGTAATGTTTTTAAACAATTCCCAACATAAATACAGCATAGCAAATGGTACTATAGGTATCGTAACAGACCTTGACTTACAAACTAACCTAATATACGTTAGTTTTTTATTGAAGGAGCTATTATTAATACTTCATTCACTAAATATAACTACAACTTCTATCTAAACAGCTTACCTGCTAGTTGCACACAATACCCTATACAAAATGCATTTGCTTTTACAGTACACAAAACACAAGGATTAATAATTCCTGATATGGGGTGTTAAAAGTTAAAAGGGTCTACTTTTACATATATTTCATTATGAGATAATTGAGTTTAATCATTTGTTTTGATTTTTGGACTGATCCGGATTAACCAAATTTCATGATTTTGATTGGTTAAAAGTAACAGATGACTATTGGGTAATCTCGTAATGTGCTTGGCCTCGTATAATTTTCTTCTACATTATCTCTATTTTTCATTATGCAAATTGACTTTCATTTATAATTGAAAAATGTCAATCATGTCAAAATATACATGAATCTAATAAAAACTCATTTTTTTAAAAAATGTAAAAATGGGCCCTTTTAACTTTTAACACCCCATATATCCCTAAATTTGAATAATCAAATCTTTGAACACAATCAAGCATACGTAGCATTAAGCTGCTGCACAAAATGGGAATACATAAAAATCCAATTGCTTGATCATAACGCATTTATTACTAACCAATTAATGATTGATAAATATGAATGACTTGAATTCAAATCCCATTAACCACTACCACTAAACAGATAAAAAATTTCTTCACTAAATATATTCAAAAACACATACAAAAAATTTCTATATATCATAAATAGATACATAATACCTACTTCCCTTGTATAACTCTATGTATTCACTTAAGATAACTAATATTCGTAATTTCTTTAAAAACTCATATTTAATAATAAAAAAATATTCATAATTGCAATTAACCTCTAAAAAAATCAACTATAATGTATAAAACTCTAAATTCATGAATATCAAGAATCAAAAATTTATGCTCAATATCAATAAAAATCTTAATAATTTAAATAAACTCACCAAATACAGTAACTTGCATAACTCGATTTTTGTTTATCGCACAAACAACTAATTTGTTTAAGTATTATACCAAAAACTATATAAAATCACAATTTTTTTAGAACCTCTAAAATATCTCAAATTCTAACTATAAATTACCCACTCACCGATCCTTCCAAATTTTCTAAAAGTCGCAACTTAATCTTCACAACTTCTAAATCTGTTACTTATCACCAAATAAACCATATATATCAATTTACCTATATCAAACTCTATTATGACAATAAATTACAACTCTAATAATACAACAAAACAATCGTATTTAATATTCATAACAAGCAATACTAACCCTTCCAAACTCTTTATATTACTAACATTTATTTAAACCTTCTTTCTAACTATAACAATAAAACTTACTACCTAACTATCACATTACACCTAATCTTAAATAAAATTCACGTTACTAAATCTTCTTCACTAACAACTAATACCTATTCTCATCATAAACATACAAAATAAAATATACAACTTAATACAACTTCATAATAATTAAATATCATTAAACAAGTCCATAATACTATTAAATTTTTTAAACTCAACTTCAGCGACGAAGCTGCTACATAATCAAGTTCTAGTTATAACATATAAAAAACAAAGTTTCTAAAGTTTGAAAATTTTAACTAGGCTAGGTAATATAACCAAGAAACTTTTGTATAGCTTTATGTTAGTTTAGTAAATATTTTTTCGAAGTAAAATAGATCCATATAAAAAAAAAAATCTATAAATTTATTTTCATTGAACGGTAAATTAATTTTTCAAAATTTTTTTTCAGCATATTATAATTGCTAATATCTGTTAATATCATGCTAATGCAGGTCAGATTGTTTGAATTTTATGTAAATTAAAAAATTTTCGAATGGTATATAATCTTTGATATCGTCAAATATAACAGATAAAGCATTCATTTTTTACATTATTACTTTAAGCATTATATATAGATATTTTAACTATCAATCTGATCTTGAGTCTTTAGACCCTGATCTTGAGTCTCAAACTACGATCTGTAATCTTAGACACAGATCTTGAGTCTCAAACCTAGATCTTATCTACACAGTCACTGATACTAACAATGATAAAGTAATAATGTAAAAATTTAGAAATTCTCTAAATTTAAGAGTATTTACTAAATATAATCTTTAAAATTTTAGGATATATGTAAATATACCACATTAAGTAAAATAAAGGTTCTAAAACTTTAGTTAAAAAATATTGTCCAATGATTTATTTAAATTTACAAGTAATTTTTTATAACATTTATCAAGAGACAAGTCACTCTACGTTCTTCTAATACTCATGCATCACTTGGTTCAACTTCTAATGATTTATTTAAATCTGCAAGTGACTCTTTATATCTACTTATTTGACTATAAAGTAAACCTCGATTGCTTAATGCAAATATATTATTTGGTTCAATTTTTAATTATTTAGTTAAATCTGCAAGTGATTCTTCATATCTTATTATCACGTGATAAGTCTCTTCATGATTCCATAATGCAACTGCATAATTTGGCTTAATTTTAATAATTAATTTAGGAAAAGATTAACAGTTACTCTGCATTTCCCCAATACCAGATGACCTACACAAGAGAAAATTTTCTGCAAAGGTAATGCACAGAAGCCAAAGGATACACTACTCACAAGGGCGAGTGCCTTTGTACCAAGGAAACACAAGTATCTATACATATTTAAGGAAACAACAAGCCATAAGATGAGCAGAATGTGAAGTGACAGAACATGTAGCAATAACAAAGAAAACCAAGTACAGCCAGTGAAAAATACAACTAGGGAGCAGAACAAGGCTGTTAGCAAACAAATTTTAGTGCAAAACATGCTAAATACAATGAACTTAAACTGGTCAGATGAAATGGAATAGGAATATGAGAAAGAGGCCTTCTTCTCTTAGGATATTAACACTAATGCAGTCCCAAAAAATTCTTTAGGAAACCAAGAGGAAAAAGCCCAAGAAATTTCTAGAGATATAAATCATAATGATAATTATTCAGATGAATATCATTCAGATAAACATCTTTCAGATGATGACATATCAGTCGAAGAGCTACCTCTAAACCAGCAATTAGAAACTAAGGCTATACAAGATGATAAGGTAAACCCTTATATTACAAATGAACACCAAAATCCTTTGTCTGTAAAAACTCTAAAGCTGTGGTCGAAACTCTTTACGAAATTCTTAAAGGGACAAGCTACTTATTCTACATTTTCTCCTTGAAGGAGTATCAGCACAAAGAATAACAATGCACTTATTTTTAAGATTCATAATCTCCACAATATCTCAACTAATGAAATTATTACAGCATTACATAGTAAACTAGGTTCGGACATCATAGGAGCAATTCCACACTTCACTAAAGGAATCCGTTCGTACTTAGAGATAATTTTCAAAAATGAGACAAAGATGAAAGAATATGCAACTGAGGGGATTACGTTGTTCAATAAAACTTATTATAGGAATATCTCTGTTAGATCAAAAAGATCGTTCTTATCAGTTAAATTACGAAAACTACCAATAGCAAGAAAAGAAATTATTTCAGACAAGATAAAGGACACATTCAAGGATATTGAGAGTATTGTATCTATTAAACCTCTTACTTATGAAGGAACACCAATATTGTCAGATCAATGGGTCATTGTTTTCGAGACTACTAATGGCACTGATCTAGAGGAAAGATTGCCTAGGTCTATTGTAATTTTAGATCAAAAAATAATCACTGAGTAGAGGAATACGCCCAAACTATGTTTTTACTGTGACACTGCAGGACATCTAAAAAAGAACTGTGATGAATACAAAGAAGCCTTAAATCTAAGGCAACGCTATAAAGAACTGAAGGCAGCGAGAATGAATGAGAAAGAAAACTTATCAGTTGGTCACGTGAATCAGTCAGAGGTGGCCTCAAGTTCAAGTAGTTCATCTGAAGGGGCTACAATAGATAATGAAGTGGTAGCTAAGGAAAGGGATGCCGAAGACAAGATAGAATCTAATGATATGCAACTTACTGTACAAGAGAGCTCCCATATCGAAGTAACTGAGGAAATCCTATGGTCAAATACAAACTCTAAGATTTCATCAGACATTTCTAAGCCACACTCACTACCAAGCAAAAATGTATCTGAAATTTCAAAGGAAGCAGTATTAGTGCATCAATAGTCTCTAATGGACAAAATAGATATGGATAAACCTCCAGATCAAGGAGAGGGTTTTACAGAAGTAATAGGTAAGAAGAAAAGAAGAATGATTAGTAAGAACAACAATACTTATAAATAATCATAATGACTAAAAAAAATATAATTAATATTGTAACGTTAAACGTCAAAGGTTTTAATAATAAAAAGAAAAGAGAAAAAATACTTATGCTTCTAAAGAGTTACAAAATAGACATGATCCTGTTACAAGAAACTAATTTATTCGATCAAAATACTCAGGAATTTCTTAAGCAACAATAGTACTTCGATTCGAGATGGTTATCGAGAACAGCAATTTTAACTAGAAATAAAAAAATAAAATTAGACAATATAGAAGAATCACACAATGAAAAAGTAATGATAGCTAACTTTACCTATAAGCATCATTTTTTTCAGATAACCAATGTATATGCACCTCCTAAGTGCTCTGATAGACTCACATTTTTTGATCAATAGTCATTTTCAATCAAAGTTAATACTATCAATATAATAGCAGGTAACTTCAACATGAACCTGAACTCGTTAAAAGATAGAATAAGTCAGGTGCCAAATTATAGTGATCCTTCTAGAGAAAAGTTGAGAACTCTAATAGAAAAATTCACAGACACAGCAAAGATCAATAATGAGGAATCATTTATTACTTACCATCAGAAAGTAAAAGGAAATAACAATATATCTACTAGATTAGACTACATTTTTATAGATACAGACCATATCTACTTATGCAAGAAAACAGAAACAAGATATAGCAATTCGGATCACCTTCTGGTA